TTTTATTAGTTGATTGACTGCGTAACAGTACACATCCTGTGTTTTTATTTCAAGATGCAGTAATTGAATTATTCAGCTAATAAAACAAATGTATTCATCAAAAAAGAGCAAAATATTTTGCAGTACGATTTTGAATGGATCGAAGAGCTAAGGATTGACATTACAGCACACCAAATTGGTTAAATTACTGAAAAACTGTTACAAACAGATTTATAGAATAATTTCATAAAAAAAAAATAACACGTTGAAAAATAATACTAATGACAATGATGAAAAAAAAACGGTGAAAAACAAGATCAAAGTGGACAAGAATATTGTACCTACAAAGCGCTTTGGACTAACTGTGTACTAGAATCTCACAGCGAGATTGAATACAAAACAATTTTGAACGGAAAATACCGTCAAAACACAGTATTAATATACTGTAAATGATCCCAGAGTCGTAAATGAGGTGACGGTTGACAATTTATTAAAGGCCGTTTTATTTTTTACAGACCGTTACAGATCTGGAGATGAACAATTGGACAATGGCATTCGGAATCCAGAATGCACGAGAATTTATGAATAAGTTTAACTGAAATTTGAGTTTACTTACAGATACCCACCGTTTCTACTCAATTAGCGAAGACGAGCACTTGCAGCAATTTGGCCACTTACAAGACATTAATTGAATTGACTAAATAAAAAGTTAAACGTATGGCCAGAGGAACCTGGAATCGAGCATAGATGAATCGAATTACAGATACGTGCCGTTTTAAACCTCATTAGGAGAACGAGAGTAATTGCTGCAATTTCATGACGTAGCCATTCAGATGCTTTGATTAATTGGTGAGTTACAACTACATACAAAAAGAGTTAAACGAAGAGAAAAAGTAGGGTAATAAAATAAAAATACTAGCAAAACATGATGAAAGATATCAGAATAAGAAGTATGACACAAAGGAACAAAAGTTAAGAGTAAAACAAGAAGTGTAATATCGACAATCAGATAAGAATGATCAGTTAAAGTAATTAATTGTGAATTTGTTTGCTGCAAATAGATAGTATACCGATTATCTATTGTGTAGATGAAAATATGAAATTAAAAAAAATAAGAGCAGCAAGCAACTAACGAAGAATATTATTAATCATATCATGTCAATTAGGGAACAGCGCTACTTCGTCGTAATCGCCCATCTTTGTTCTATCGAGCAGAAATCATCAATAATATCAATGATTTCACCGTGCACAAATCAATAATACGTTTGTTCCGATCCGTTAGTTCGTAAGCCACATGAAGCCTATTACAGCGCATTGTATGAATATTTACACTCATTGTTCTCAAAACAAAAGAAGCGTTCCTAGCGACTCCACTTTTTCTACCATCATCCGTAGGACGAAGAAAATCTAATGGCGTTTCAATGCGTTAGGACGGAATTGAAACTCGTAGGACGAATTTGGAATCAAGAAACAGTGTTAGATTTTTAATAATATCTCAACATTGTTTGACTCTTTATTAAATCCAACGGTACGTATGGAAAGGTGAATAAATTTAGAAGTTATCTTTTATGAAAACATTTCATGTTTTGTTCAAACCCTTTTAAAAAAGAGAGAGAAAGTGCGGGATGTGCTTAGTAGGACGGAAATTAGATCAAAAACCCTATATCAAAGTATGTAAACCAAGATAAAAAAAATAGTTGATTCAAATGATGAGTAAAAACTAATTTGAATATACCAAAGTTTTAAAGTAAAATTGATAAAAAAAATTATCCAAAAGAAAATTATTGATGATACAGTTTAAAAGGGAAAATCGATTTTGGATATCCGTGGATGTACCAGGTGGCGAATCTCAGAGACGGTCAACAGTGAAGGAAGAGTCACATTCACAATGGCTAGATGACAATCTAAAGACAAATCAAGCGGAAGATTGAAGATCGACGGTGTTGGGTAGAATCATCGGAAAAGTATAAGGAACAGGAAGATGGAATCGAGTGGTTTATCGAGGATAACAGAATTGATCAACACATTATACTGTATAGATGAGCAATCTTTGGCATAAGCTCATCACACAGCATCTAAAATGACAAACTACTTCAGCAACGGTTTCGCAAACATCATCATAAAACTACAGAACATACAACGTAACGTTTGATATAACATAATTAAACATCAAACTCAAAAATGGCAATGAAGCACAATCAAGTACACAACTAACGCATATTATGGCACAAACAGTAAATTGACTAGCTGCATATATAAACACAGATAGAAAACAGTCGTGGATAAATTCCAAAACAAGTTCACATCTTATAACGAAAATCATCGAAGATATGGAATCATACTAGATCATAGAGAAAGTTGAAGTTCTAAATAGCATTAAAAAGTTTCCAACAGAAACATACATAATGACGAGATGCGATCAGTACAAGACATAGATATGAAAGACGATGAAGGGTAACCTGAATGCGGCAAACAACGAATCATAGATGGCGGAGAATGGCAGATACACTCACACCTGATATTTGATATCAACCAAATGACGAGTCAGGAACAGTTTTCAATCGCATGGGTGAACGAGCAGAAACGAAGGAGCTTTTACGAAAGGTACAATTGAGGATCACCCTAAGGTTAGGAGAAATACGGCAACAAGAAAACGCGAAATTTTCAAATCGAAGATTACCAACTCAAGCTTATTGATAATATTTTTTGCAAAATGATTCTCAAGCTCAGTAAGTAAGGGGGGATGCAACAACCTCAAATTCTAACATCAATCCTTATAGTGAATTATTCGTAATGGTTCTATACAATGTTAACATTAAATATCAATTGCAACAAGAATGGTATAACTCAACTAAACGCATAATTAACGTAAGGCATAGATAGGCAAATTTTCATATCAGCAAAACGCGTTTTTTTTCGAATCAAACAAACGTTGCATAAGGTGTCCATTAGAGGCTAACATGATAAAACTTGTTAACACAGATGATTTAGCCAAATGACAAAATTTAGTTAAAGTATGATCGACTGAATAATACTGAATAGTACAAAGTAGGGTCTTAAGAAAGGCACAGTAGGAGTAAGAACCATAATAAGAAGATCCATTAAAAAATTTAGCAAATATAGAATAGTTACCAGCGCATATCTTTGAGAAGAATCTCTTCGATATTATTCTCAAGTTGGTTAAGTAAGAGGGGATGCAAAGGCCTCAAATTCCAATATCAATCTGAGTAAGAAATTAACCAGTAATAGACCCCGTTACTCATGCAGTAATTGTATTCGGTAGGACAATGTCGCACATTTCCGGGGTAAGTTGTTTATAAACAGTTGCTACCGCGTCGTCTGCGGTGCGCGCTGGCTTAACTTGGTGCTTCGCGAAAGGTCAAAGTAAACATTAAACATCTTACATAGCCGTTCCTACCGCGGGGAGCATCAATTCTTGTAAAAAAAGCAGACACCGACTTTCCAAGAGAAAAACTATCTGTCTCGCTGGAGAAAAACTATTGTGTAGAGTTTATGTAACAAATTCATGTATAAAAGGTTTCGAAGAATAAAGAATCGGGGCAGTTGTTCTGATGAGTTATTATTCGAGGTTTGCTAGGTGCGGACGAGCACAGTTCCAACCTCAGGATAAATGATTCATCAAAGAGCTTTTTCCATACAGTAGAAATGGAATTGCACTGTCTTTCATTTAACAAAAAAAGAAAGACCACGCGAGTTGTTGCTTTACGGTCGTGTTTTGGATACAACCTGTTACTTTTTTAAGTTCAGTACTCCTAAAGTGACTCCTAACATTTCTAAAGTTATTCAGTGCTTTCTGAAGTGATTCAAAACTTTTCTGAATCAATTCAGTACGATACGAAGTGATTCTGAATATTTCTAAAGTGATACAATACATTCCGAAGTTATTCAGTACTTTCCGAAGTGATTGATAACATTTCTGAAGTGATGCAGCACTTTCCGAAGTGAGCCTAAACTTTTCTGAAGTGATTTTGAACTTTTCATAAGTTATTCAGTAATTTCTGAAGTGATTCCGAACTTATATTAAGCGGTCCAGTCCTTTTCGAAGTAATTCCGAACATTCTTGAAGTGACTCGGTATTTTCATAAGTAATTCCTAATATTTCGGAAGTTATTAACTACTTTCCGAAGTGATTCAATTTTTGTCTTAAGTGATTCAGTACTTTCCGAAGTGATTTCAAACTGTAAGAAGCGATTCAGTTCTTTCCGAAGTGATTCCGAACTGTTTCCAAATGATTCAGTGAACGAAGTGATTTCGAGCTGTTTTGATATGATTCTAAACTTTTTTTTTATTATGAAATACATTCCGAAGTGTTTAAAAACACTGCTTCAGTGCTTTCTGAAGTAATTCCAAACGCGTAGACACATTTTCTTTGAGTGATCATAAACTTTTCAAGGGATTCAGAGGGATTTTAACTCAATATTCAAATGAGTATTGCAATATTGTTCTATGCGAGTCCATACTTATGACGGGTAGTCTATAAGGGGATTGGAACTATTGATTGAGTTGCAAATCATTCGAATTTACACTGAATTTGGTGTTATTAGTGATGATTTACTTAAGATGACCAAACTGCCCCATGTACACACTTATGGTGGTAAGCTCCAACTGGTATTATCCTCGGCTTAAATACCGATAAAGAATGTCCGGCTGCTCTGATGTCAACATCAGATTTAATCAACACTACTCTAAGCAAACATTTTGCAGATCATCCAAATAGGCAAGGGATTAAATGTTAATCCGAGTTGGGCTTACCACCATTAGAGTCAGTATAACTGAAAAAGTCGGTAAAAATTCAAATGACCGTTATCCGTTAATAAAATAATATATGATTAAATGGGGTTAACAGAACTAAGTCTGTACAAGTTCGAAATAAATTTTAATATTTTTGAATTTTGGCCAGATTTATAAACTTTTACCGAACAGTTCCGCTATTCAAAAACCCAATAAAACCTTACTGACTGGATTAGAGTTTATGCATGTATTTAGTGTTAATCGTTACCTTTGAGCAAGAGCCAGCTTTAACCGTTCGTTTTCATATTTGAGTTGTTGTTCTGCAGAAGAAGGTGTCATGCCATCGCTAGATGATGAGTTTATAGATGTCTGTTTAAGTTCGATACTGAGAGGATTCGTATTGATGAGAGCATCATTGATAGTAGGATGGGAAGGACTCTCAGTGTTGATATTCTGAAATTAAAAATACATTTGACACTTGATTTTAAATCTTATTGAATTGCAGAGCTTCCGTACCGAGGAAACATTACCAGTTGCGGGAATCGGAACATCAACGTTGTTGGGGTCGAAGCTGTCACTGTTTGACATTGAAGAACGTGCTGTAACAGGGGATGCATTTGCGGAAGTAACTGTTGAATTTTCATTAGCAGAAGCCTTGTTAAGTGCATTTTTTGTAGCCTCTTTTACTTCCTGGAATTTCTCTATAAACTGCAAATGTAGAATAGATGATTTTCAATGATAAACAGGTCTATGAAAACAGTAACATTAACTATTTTTTCGGTGACATGCTCCCTGAACCTTGAAAAAGAAGCTCAATTAGTGCGAAGTTACTTTACCGCGTGGGTTTTTTAACTATGGGGTTTTTTTTTAAAGCTTCTTTCAGAATAATATTTTAAGGCTTATTGTAGAAGCTAATTCTAAAATTTTTTCAAAATACATATACACGTACATGCCAATACGGACTTAATAAGCATTTTCCGAACGCTTAGGGACAATGTTGTTGATGCCATTGATTAAATGGCGTTAACGTTAATGTACTGTGGCGCCAGTAGTGTAGTGGTAAGCGTGAATACTTCTCACCCCAGCAGGCCTGGGTTCAATCCCAGTCAGCGCCACCGGGATGTTCTGAGGCTTAACATCACTGATCACGCCTTCTTTCGGAAGGGAAGTAAAGTCGTTGGTCCCCGGTTTATGAGTTGATGGGTAGATAGGTAGGGTCCAGGTGCCTTCCTGGCGTCGCACAGTGGGGCGACTCCATACAAAGTCTGGCCAAGCAAATAATTCTCTAAATTTAAAAAAAAAATCATTTTTCTTGAGTAATTTTATGGTGCTGAATCCATAAATGTAATATGTTTTGAATTATAACTTGTATTTTTTACGCTATAAACGATTTTGTATTTTATTTTTTGTTAAATTTTTTATACGCTGTAACTGTGAATGATGGTCATACAATGAAGATTTTTGTTTTTAAACAATGCTTAGAAAACTTTTTTCATTTGCTTAAAATATAGGGGAAATGGCTCTTACGTTGGCCTATGGATCTAAGATTGGGCCCATCGCTAAAAATCTACTATTTATCAATTTAATCTAGATGAACGCGTGATTGGGACGTTACTAATTTAGTAGATTGTTGAATTTATGTATGGGCCCAAATTAGGGGCATTTAGACCGACATTACATCCATTTACCCTACCTAATAATAAAGTTTTTATAAATAAACAACACAAATTAAAAATTAAAATTTGAATTTTACTTCTAGTTAAACTTCTTCCTCATCATCAGCATCATCATATTCTTCTTCTAATTCTGATTTTTCACCATCATCATCATCATCATCATCTTCTGGAACCATATCGCTTGAGTCAGTATTTTTGTCTTGATCAGAAATTTAACTTCCTCCGGTAGACTTTTAAAATTATGTTTTCTCTTCTGATAATAAGAGTTAACCATTAGATCGGTGTTGATAAGAAGGCGATTAATAATATCCCAATTTGTGTTTTCATGCTTGTCTTTCCGAGTGGAAATGCTCTTTAGTGTTTTTAATGACGTTGTTACATTTTTCTTGAGCCTCCTCCGTAATTCTTCCAATCGGCAATATCACCACCTGAGCAATGCTATGCCCGTGAATCGAAATTTTGTGCATCGACGATGGCATGTAAAACCAAGCGTACAACTCTACGTAGCGCTTCGCGGTATCAACATAGTAAATTTTGAATTTAGCTGGGTCTATTTGCTGGGAACAAGAAATTGCAATTAGAATGTTCCAAAGTCTTTTAATCAACTCCAAATCTACTCCTGTGATTTTGGAACTGAATTCAGGATTGGCAAAACAAAATTACGAGCTGTTGCTGTTGCCGAATCCTCCTGGCTTCGGTTTTTTGACAATCAGACCCATTTTTCTCTTGAAGCTTGCCTGAATTCTTTTCTTGTTCGCCTCGAACTTCGTTTCAAACCCAGATTTTCTCAAGCATTTGAAGGTCAAGTGATACGCAAAGTAAAATGCTCCTCCTTACCATGTTGCAATCGGGGTTTAATAGTACTTTCTAGAAGCAGCATCAACCTTTAACTGGTTTTATTTAGAATAGCTTGGAGATCAATCTTCACATTGCACTGTGACAAAAAATGCGTTTTGTGGGGGATAACATTCTTTTTTCGCTCTTTTACTTGGTAGTACGGTGGGTACCTGAAATAATAAAACCATTGTATTTTGCATACAAACTCCTTACATTAAACTTAAGACCTGTCTGTTACTGGTTCCCTAATAATGTTGTAATTATATCTCGTCAGTTTAGAAATCTCTACAATCGATAACGCCTTCTCAGGTGTGATTTGAGTGTTTTGGTTGTTGAGATCAATACCCCATTTAATTAAATTTGCTGCTTTGTAATTGTTTTCGGCACGCAAACTCATTTCCGCAGCAAAGCTTAATTGATTTGACGAATATTTTGCTCTAATTTCTTCAGTACGGTGCCGCTTCGATCGATCACTGCATTCTTCAAAAGCTTTGATTTTGCTAGCCGCCAAGGTGCATCAGATGGTGGTATTACATATTCCTCAAATCAATCTAAATGTTCCATCTCAAAGCGGTCACGCTTTCGTTGGGATTGTAGAAATTTTCTGTTACATGCTTTCCAAAAAAATCTCAAACCCTTTATTCGCATGCGAAGGAAAGCATTTTTCCGCGGCTGATTTCACCTTTTCTAGCGATTCTTGATGTTTCATGTTTCGTAAATCTGTTTTCTTTTTAGTCCGTTTCCTTTAGATTAAATGAAAACAAAACGATTTTTATGACGGTATTGAAAAGATACTACGAAATGTTAGATCACTATTTCACGACATAAAACTTAAAGAAATTACCCACACAAAAAAAAAATATTGTTAGTACGGACGATCACTCTCGTATAGACAGTAGTTCATCGCAATTAATGTGTTCTCAAAAAGGCAACTTACTTGAATTTACAGTATCCGTATCCATCGCTGATTTGGATTCCATAATTAATTTCGATGATAACTGATATAACAATAACTTCAAACCGATAAAACGTATTTGTAAAAAAATATGGATAAAGTGATGCTGATATCTTCTTACTGCTGCTGCTACTTTGTTTGGGAGAGAGATGAAGTGGTATGATATGTCGATCACTTTTCCTTATTTATTTTACTAAAGACTCTGCCTTATCTCTGCTTGTTGAAAAACACAAAAAATAATGCAGACTAAAAACGGTCCTTTGCAGATCAGTTTTGGTGTAAATTGAATAATTTTTATTTTTCGATGCTGTTTTCAAGTTCTTAGGAGGAGATAAACTAAGCCTAAGGGGGGTCGTACACTAAATGCGTCATACATTTTTTTTATGATTTTCAACCCCTTCCTTACATTTTTTGTAACAAATCCGAAAAAAATATGGCACGTAAGAAAATCTTAGAACTCTTTGTGCTTCCATAAACTATTACGTGAATACAGTTTATGGTCCCTAATAACAGAATTTTTTTTATGAATGATGTGTAGATAAGGAAAATTAGCTGTTATTATGCACTAAAAATGAGCAATCAACCAATCTCCTGATCGTGATTCAAATTTAAAATTGTAGAATGTCACCTGAGTAAAAATAACTTTTTTTTTCATTTCGCACTATCAGCATCCTGCGCAAGTTTGCTCAAGATCAGGCTATGCTCATTCGAAACTTTGCATTTTTAACTACCTTTTGCAATTGGTGTCAACCATGGCAATCCCTGGCTTCATAAGTTTGAAGCTTAATTTTTATGAAAAAATCACTTTTTTTTTTAATCAAATAAAGATGTACTTATGATGATAATATTCCACAAAATTTAATAAAGCAAATTTGTTCTACATTGTTTTTAAAACAACTTTCTAAGACGTCATTTCAATCCAAGCAACTGTTAAACCACCAGTTGATTGAGTAATAATGCCATTTTTGTCGAAAAATAATAAAGATGATAGAAAAAAAAATAGAATAGAGGAGGAAATGCAAATTTTCCAATTTTATCTAATGGCCAGCGATTCCCCACTGTGCACTTTGCAATGACGATAAAGTCATCTTTTTGATTTACGGTTTAGCGACTTTGCAGTCAATTTAATTGTTTATAGGAAAGTTTGAACATACTGAGAGGTAAGCACATATCATCGGTAAGAGACGTGTGTGTGAGAAAATTTGCGAAAAAAAAAATCTAAGGGCACCGGTGGGATTCGAACCCACAATTCCCATTCAGTACACGGGTGCATTGCCAATTATACAACGGTGGACCTATGGTCTACGGATGTATTTAGCTAATGACATTTGAGTTTCGAATCCGTTCCCCACCCTAGTCTCTTTGCGCAAGCGTTCTCTGATACACAACAATCGTCTATTATCGACGATATGTGCTTGTACCGCAACCACTCAGTATCAGTCGATGTGAACAAACACAGCTCATTTATGTTGTTCATCTTACATGCTGAAATATGTCCAGTACAGTATGACTCTAACATTTTGAGCTGCCGGCCTCACCTCCGACCACCGGGCCGTAGTTGATGAATATCAATTACTTTTACTTTTTGATTTACGGTTTAGCGACTTTGCAGTCAATTTAATTGTTTATAGGAAAGTTTGAACATACTGAGAGGTAAGCACATATCATCGGTAAGAGAAGTGTGTGTGAGAAAATTTGCGAAAAAATCTAAGGGCACCGGTGGGATTCGAACCCACAATTCCCACCGGTGCCCTTAGATTTTTTTTTTCGCAAATTTTCTCACACACACGTCTCTTACCGATGATATGTGCTTACCTCTCAGTATGTTCAAACTTTCCTATAAACAATTAAATTGACTGCAAAGTCGCTAAACCGTAAATCAAAAAGTAAAAGTAATTGATATTCATCAACTACGGCCCGGTGGTCGGAGGTGAGGCCGGCAGCTCAAAATGTTAGAGTCATACTGTACTGGAAATATTTCAGCATGTAAGATGAACAACAAAAATGAGCTGTGTTTGTTCACATCGACTGATACTGAGTGGTTGCGGTACAAACACATATCGTCGATAATAGACGATTGTTGTGTATCAGAGAACGCTTGCGCAAAGAGACTAGGGTGGGGAACGGATTCGAAACTCAAATGTCATTAGCTAAATACATCCGTAGACCATAGGTCCACCGTTGTATAATTGGCAATGCACCCGTGTACTGAATGGGAATTGTGGGTTCGAATCCCACCG